TTTAAACCAGAAAACCAAGATGTACCTACTAATGTAATCATAATTTTAAATACATATCTTTTCACTTTATTTTGAAGATTAAAAAATGTCTGTAAATGAGACAAGAAGCATTTATTTGTATTGTTAAATCATTCACAATTAACATGATATATTTTAGTTGTTGGTCACTTCACAAACATGCATTTGAATTTTGGCTGTATAGGTACATAACAATCGGACATTATCATAAAATAACTAAAATGTTATTATTAATGTGGTAATGTGGTAATTTGCTTTTAAACAAATTGTGTGTGAAAAAGCTTAACTTGTGCTTGCAATTAAAAATATACATATATTAAGGTTTTATTATACATGCCTATACTTATGACAAATTTTGAATTGCTATTATTTTCATTAATGATGTTATTAAGTTACAGCAACAAATGCACAGTTATATATTATATATCATCATCATCATTACAGCCCTTCACAAGTCCACTGCTGAACATAGGCCTCCCCCAAGTAATGCCACAAAGCACGGTCCTGAGCCACCTGCATCCATCGACTTCCTGCATGTCTTACCAGGTCGTCACTCCATCTAGTGGGGGGTCGCCCTACACTACGCCTACCGGTACGAGGCTGCCACTCGAGAACCTTTCTTCCCCATCGGTTATCGGTTCTTCGAGCTATATGGCCGGCCCATTGCCACTTCAGCTTACTAATCCGTTGGGCTATGTCGGTCACTTTGGTTTTACTGCGGATATCCTCATTTCTGAGTCTATCACGCAGTGAAACTCCGAGCATAGCCCTCTCCATAGCTCGCTGAGCGACCTTGAGCGTCCTCATACGGCCAGCGGTGAAGGACCACGTCTCAGATCCGTAGGTCATCACTGGCAACACGCACTGGTTATACACTTTAGTGTTCAGAGATTGAGGTATACCTGACGAGAAGATGTGTCGTAATTTCCCGAACGCTGCCCAGCCGAGTTGAATCCGTCGATTGACCTCTCGGTCGAAGTTGGATTTACCTAGTCGGACTATTTGTCCCAGGTAAACGTACTCGTCAACAACTTCGAGCATAGTGCTCCCAACAATTACCGGCATAGGTGTGACATGGACATTAAACATGATCTTTGTTTTGTCCATGTTCATCTTAAGACCTATCCGTTGGGAGGCACTATTGAGGACATTGAGCATAGTGCTAAGGTCCTCCAGCGATTCTGCCATAAGGACTATATCGTCGGCAAATCGTAGGTGAGTGATGTACTCGCCATTGATGTTAATACCGTATCCTTTCCAGTCCAGTAGCTTGAAAACGTCTTCCAACGCAGCGGTGAAAAGTTTCGGGGATATAACATCACCCTGTCTTACACCTCTCTGCAGTTGGATAGGTTTCGTACTCTGGTTCTGTACTCGGATAGCCATCGTAGCCCTACTGTACAAACACTTCAGCACTTCAATATACCGACAGTCAACTAGGCACCGCTGAAGAGACTGTAGCACCGCCCAAATTTCGACGGAATCAAAGGCTTTCTCATAGTCCACATACGCCAGGCAAAGTGGCAGATTGTACTCTTCGGACTTCTGTACAATTTGCCGAAGGGTATGTATGTGGTCTATGGTACTGAAGCCTTTTCGGAAACCGGCTTGTTCGGGAGGCTGGAAGTCGTCGAGTCTGCGTGCGAGACGATTCGTAATGACTCTCGAAAACAGCACATAGACGCGGCTCAGAAGGGAAATCGGTCTGTAGTTCTTCAAGAGAGCGTTGTCGCCTTTCTTAAAGAACAAGACCACCGCGCTTCTGCTCCACGCCTCCGGAGTAGTACCACCATGGAGGACGGAATTGAAGAGCTTCTGAAGGACTTCAAGTACCGGTGTTCCACCCGCTTTCAGAAGCTCCGCTGTAATTCCATCCTCGCCCGGGGCCTTGCCGTTTTTAAGGTGGTGGAGAGCCATTCTAATCTCGCTCAGACTGACGTCCGGGATATCATCGGAATAGTGTCGGATAAGTCTTGCTCTTGGATCGTTACTCACACTTGCGTGTGGCTCCAACGATGATGTGTACAGCTGCCCATAGAACCTCTCAATCTCACTTAGAATCTCAGGTGTCCCGGAAACGATGTTGCCACACTCAGTCTTCAGCCTTGACAGTTGGCTCCTTCTGGCAGACAGATCTCTGGCAAAGACTTTAGAGCCCTGGTTCCGCTCGATCGCTTCTTTAATACGAGCAGTATTAAAGTTGCGTAAGTCTCGCCGCATGCATTTGGAGATCTGTCTGTTCAGTTGCCTGTATGCTGTTCAAATCTGTTGACGATTGCAGCCTCATCTCCCGTCTAACAGCCATGAGATTAAGAGTGTGATCGGAGAGTTTTTGTGTTCTTCTGCGGCGGGTCTTGCAGAACTTAGCTCCGACCGCATGGACAGTTTCCACGCGCTTGTCCTTCATATCGTCCACTGCATTGCAATCTTCTAGGCACTGAAAGCGGTTTTGTAACTCGAGCTGAAAGGTTTCGGGATTCTGGATTAGAGCACGAGGGGGACGGAGCGTTGCTTCATTAGACGAGACCTCTCCAACTTAACATTTAGGTTCAGTGTGCCTCTAACCATTCGGTGATCGCTGCCAGTTTTCACCCTTGCGATCACTGAGACATCACTGAACAGTTGGCGTCTGGTCGTCATAATGAAGTCAATCTCATTTTTTGTCGAACCGTCGGGGCTCGACCAGGTCCACTTCCTGTGGGGCCGCTTCTGGAAGAAAGAGTTCATCATAAAGAGTCCCTCTTTCTCCATAAAGTCGGCCAGCTGCTGGCCCCTTCGGTTCCGTTGCCCTACTCCAAATTTCCCCACCTTCAGCTCACCGCTTTCTCTTGTGCCTAGTTTTGCGTTGAAGTCTCCCATCAACACCGTGTAGTGAGTTTTGGAGGAATGCATGGCTCTGGAAATATCCTCATACATTTCCTCCACCTCCTCATCGGGATGTGCCGAGGTTGGTGCGTAAACCTGTATGACCTTCAGCGAATACCGTTTGGTGATTCTGAGTATCAGGTACGCGACCCTCGTCGACACACTCCCAATCTTTACAACGTTGTTCACGAGAGACTTGTGGACGATAAATCCGACACCTCTTTGGGACAGATGGTCGCCCTCCCGGTGGTAGAACAAGTTGCCGGACTCGAGGATTGCCGTATCCTCCCCCTCTCTTCGGACCTCGGATAATCCAATAATATGCCAGCGCAACTTGTCTACCTCTTCTTCCAGCTCCAGTATCTTCTCGTCAGTCCTCAGAGTGCATGCGTTATATGTTGCCAGGTCGAGTCGTCGTAGGTGGCAACCGAACCTCCACCGGAGATTCTTAGCACCCCCTGCCCCGCCGTTACTATGGTCGCCACCGTATCCAGGAATAGCGGGGCCGCCGGGGACTGGGGGCCGTTTTTTTGCGTCGTTATTCATGGGGGGATATTTGCCATAGTTGCCACGCTTGGCGAGCGGGTTGGCAACCGCAGTTTTTTATTATAACACAGTTGTTATCAGGAAGATGCTGCTGCCCATCTCCTGCCTGTCTCCCTCTGTCGCCTCTTACGACACCCACGGGAAGATATGGGGTAGTGGATATTCTCAACCGCCACTACACGGCCTTTATATTATATAAGTAATACTAAACTGTTCTATTTTATTTTTTACCAGTAAATGAATCTGCCGATGCAATGTTTTCTCTTCACATTATTGATAATAATTGTTAACATCTTATTAAAACTAAATCAATAAACTGTTTTCTTAGTAGAAACAATTTTTTTAAGCTAAAGTATTTCTTATGTCAGTATGCAAGGAGATTGTGGTGAAAAGGCTATTATATGACCATTGCATATAATTTATTATTTTAATATTAAAATTTCTATAATTATTCAGTCATTGGTTTAACTATAATACCTGTATGTTTCTGTTACATAAGAAGCTGCACATTAGTAAAGTAATTTAAAAGATTATTTTTTTGTATTTTCACTGATATTCACTGAACAGTTTTACTCCTAAGAACAATGTGATATTTTTTTTTTGTTTCCTAACTTATTAACATTATCTAAGAAGAGAAGGGGAATTGATAGAGCAAGTAGATGAATTTGTATATTTGGGATGCGTATTTGTCAAGAATTGGAGATATGATAAAAATATATAACAACAAGTGAAAGCAGGAAATAGAGTAAATGGGGCCCTACACTCTATTATGGAAAGTGAGAATGTGTCAAAAAAGGCACGTATGATAATTCGCAATGCTATGTTGGTCCCTACTTTATTGTTTGGTAGTGAAAGTTGGGTGTGGCAGAAGAAGCACGAGATTCGAATAAACGCAGTAGAAATGGCGTCATCAACGAGTATGTTAGGGCAGAATCTGAGTGACAGTGGTTTACAAAATCAAGAAACTATATGCAAAAGTTGTGTGCCAAATGTTCATAAAATCATAGATTTATTTATTATTTAGCTTAAAATATAAATTAATCAAGTATTACAGACTGGAGCTGAGTATCCTTAATTGAACAATACTGTTATTCTTTAAACCAGAAAACCAAGATGTACCTACTAATGTAATCATAATTTTAAATACATATCTTTTCACTTTATTTTGAAGATTAAAAAATGTATGTAAATGAGACAAGAAGCATTTATTTGTATTGTTAAATCATTCACAATTAACATGATATATTTTAGTTTGTCAGTTCACAAACATGCATTTGAATTTTGGCTGTATAGGTACATAACAATCGGACATTATCATAAAATAACTAAAATGTTATTACTAATGTGGTAATGTGGTAATTTGCTTTTAAACAAATTGTGTGTGAAAAAGCTTAACTTGTGCTTGCAATTAAAAATGTACATATATTAAGGTTTTATTATACATGCCTATACTTATGACAAATTTTGAATTGCTATTATTTTCATTAATGATGTTATTAAGTTACAGCAACAAATGCACAGTTATATATTATATAAGTAATACTAAACTGTTTTATTTTATTTTTTACCAGTAAATGAATCTGCCGATGCAATTATGAGTTTGACACTTGATAGTAAATCCCATATATCATCAAGCAACACAAAACATAATAGCAATATTGAACAGCCCCCTAATTTGAATATGGATGGTGATAGTATGAAGGATATGGGAGAAGTTCCGGAAAAGAAATGTCATAGTCAAAGTTATAATAAATGTGAAGTTTCTCATAAACAAAACAGAATTAATAAACCATCAAATTTATCCACTGAAGCTAATGTCCAACCTTCAATAAGTTATGCTAGAGCATCACAAGGTGAGGCTCCGCAAACACAAAAAGGTAAACAAATAATGCCTACCACAAATGCTGGTTTCAATATTTGGACCAATCAATTCAGAGAAATCTTATCACATCATAATAAAGGTTCACGACTATTGATAATTATGAGAGGTGCTCCTGGCAGCGGTAAATCGTTTTTAGCAAAACAAATTATAGAAATGACTGTTGGAGCTAATTTTTCTAATTACAAGAAACATATTCTTAGCACTGATGACTACTTTATGGTAAGAGGTGTTTACCAATTTGAAAAATCAAAGCTTTCAGATGCTCACATTTGGAATCAATCTAGAGCAAGGACAGCAATGATGCGGGGTTTAAGTCCTGTTATTATTGACAATACTAACATTGAATTGTGGGAAATGGAGCCGTATGTAAGAGATGCAGTTAGAAATGGATATGTGATAGAAGTTTTAGAACCAAACACTCCATGGGCAAAGAAAGCAAATCAATTGTCACGGAAGAATATTCATGGAGTTCCTTTCCAGTCAATTAAAAGGATGCTTGATAATTTTCAAAATGGTGTTACAGGTGAATATTTGAGAAATTATTATAGATTGTGTTATCCTGAAAATATGGTTCCTCCTGTTTTGAGAAATTTTCCTCCTATGCCGGTAGAAATTCCTGTTGAACCAACTCTTGGTAAAAACAATAGCAGTCCAGTAACAGACCGCAATAATGAGTCGATAACACAAGAAAGCTTACCTGTTCAAACTCAAGATGTAATAAGTAATACGTCTTCATGTACAGAATCTGAGGAATTAAGTCAAGACAGTACAAGTAAATCAGATAACTCACAAATTGTAGAAAAGGAAAATGAGAATAGAAACTCATTACCGATTCAATATACATATATAGAAGAACAGTTAGAAGAATATGCTAAAGTCGAAAATGAATGGGAAAATGGTGAAAACTGGGAAGAGGAAACAGAGAAAACTCAAAATAATACTAAAATAGATGATTTAAAGAAACAGAATGAAATTGTTAAACCTAAAAGAAGGCCTAAAGACTCTGTAGAGTCTCAATCCATACAAAATTCGCTACCTGAATGTCAAGATTGGACAAAAATCTCTATGTTTATGCCACCTTGGGAAAGTGAAGATGTAAAATCAAATGTCAACCCTGCAATTTCAGTTGAAAAAGTTTGCAGCAGCACTTGTATGGAAATTGGCGATACAGACATTAACAATTCAAGCAAACCTCATAAAATTATAACGGCAATACCCAGAGATATAAATTTGTATTACTTGCCACTTGATAAAGTGAAAATCCCAGATAAACGGATGTTAGATAAGAGTACTATGACAAATGATCAGGCAATAATAGAAGGTTATAGATGTCAAAATGAAGAGAAGCATTTCAGAGCTTTTAGAAAACTGTTTAAAAATATTAATAAATGTGATTTAAGAGATATATTTGACCGCTGTTGTGGAGATGTAAACTGGGCAGTCGATATTGTGCTTGATGGTGTTGCAAATAAACAGTTGCTAATTCAAGATGAAGATGATTCTTCAGATATTGAAGAAGAAATTTCTGGACAGTGTGAATGTGTGGCAGCATATAACGTAATACCAGATGTCATATCAGCATCTAGTACTAAAGAAGACCATACCTCAGAAGCTGTAGTAGAGAATGTAACATCTACACCGAGGAAAGTAAAAAAAGAGGTAGTCATTACTGAAAGTTCTATTCAGTTAAAACGTCAAATAGAGAAAAATGTAGTTATTGCTGATAATCACTATTCAGAGCATTGCTTAAAGATTAGAAAAATACGCCGCGGGGAGGCCTCCCAAGCAGAAGTTAATGTTTGCGAAAATGTAGAAAATTCAGATAATACTCAGAACTTCGAGAATGTTTTCCCTAGTACTTCTAAAGTCGGAAGTGAAGTTAATTATTTGGACACGGAAAATGTTGAACATGATAATTTGAACACTGAAAGTGATGATGATGATGAAACTGGTTTTGATTATGTGGAGAAAACAGTTAATATTGAATTAGGCAGTCATTTTGTAACTCAATTAGACGAATTCTTTGGTAGGCGAGGCATGATATATCCTGAGAATATTATACCAAAAATAAACATTCCGCTATCCATCCTAAATGAAATTAATGCTCTTTGGATGGAATCTTTAATGGACCAACTAGATAAGGTTACTAAACAAACGCAGTTAATGGTACTTCAAGATGAGGAATTTGCAAGGTAAACTACAAGAACTTTTTAAAATTATGTTAATTGGCATCCCTGTCTCCAATTTTAAATATTTCCATTAATTTCAGACAATTAGCACTTAAAGAGGAAGAACTGGCTTTAGCAGGAAAAGAACCGGAAGTGCCTGATTTTAAGGAGATAATGGATTTAGATTTTGCACTTTCTTTGTATCAAAAAGATGTTGAAGAGTGGCGAAATAAGGAACCTAATGATTTGGCTGCAAAACTTACACGGGAAAAGTTATACAATTTATTCCCTGATATTTCTCCAAATGTTTTGTCCGAGCTTCTTATGGCCTATGATAATAATTTCCAGGCAACTGTAGAGGTAAGTGTATAGATATAAATAATATTATCCATCAAAAATTGTGTCAAGTATGGCTTCAATTGCATATATTACGGGAATAATCAAAAAACAAATTATTGCTAAGTTTATTTACTTAATTGTTTTATTTAAAAATTAAGAATTTTAATAAATAGACTATTTTTTTAAATGTATACAAATAGAAGGTGATAAGACTCCTTTTTTGCGTATGACTCCGTATGAGTTGATATTGGTTTGCCTTTTACAATATGTCGTTAAATAACAGTGCTTGCACTCCTGTGTTAAGGTCCAAAGGGTAAAGAGAGCTAGTACAACAATAGGTTGTGTGTCATTTCGTCCTCTCAGGTGACATCACATCTTAGTTCTTCTTTATTTAAATTTGGCTGCAGTTGTCCATAGATTGCAGTAGCCACTTCAGTATAAGAAATAAATAAACTACATGCATAATTATTAATTATTAGTGTTTTAATATATTTTATATAATTTTTAATAATTGGGTAACAAAGAGGTCGATTTTAATGCATTTCAGCATTATTTGAAAGTCCACATGTAATAGCACAGAGTACAGTACTTATAAAATGTCAATTTGACTGTCATTTAGATATTTTGTATGTCACTATGGCAAAACTGATATAATTTTGATAAGTCTATAGCTAGAACTGCAAATGTAATTAAACTTTCAGGGGTCCAATCAAAACCACAATTTGTGACTGATGATTGTGGTAAACTGTATAAGATTTAGCCATTTTAAAGCCTAAATCTGTATTATAAAACTATCTATTTTTAATCATAAGTCATGAAACATCCACAACTACACTAGACGATAACAGGCACAATCCTACATGATTGCACTGGCTAGTAACAGGCATCTCACGTTCATTCATTGTAAGCTTTAACTAAAGCTGACTTCATAACACTGGCAATTTAAGTAAATCTACATAACATCCTTGCTTGTCGTAAGGTGTGATTATGAGAAACGCCAGAACACTAATAATTTGCGATAGAATGGCAGTTTAAACATCTTTTTTGTCCGTCGTACAATATCCGATCATCGACAATATCCACATTAAGCAAAATTAACAAAGAACTAGTCTTCTCACCAGATCGCAGCCGACTAAAGAAGTTACGGGGAATTGAACGTAGCTTAGTGCGCAAAGTATTGGTATCGTAGTGGCCGTATAGTGTTGTATATGCCCCGCCATAGAATACTATAATACATACAATAGAACGGAGCAGTGGGCGGAGCCTGTGTAACCACTGGTAACCTATATTTAAATTCCATTTCCCGCTGTTCTTTCGACACGTAATTATTGCACAATTTGCCATTTTTTAAATAAATTGCATGCAGCGCCGCTTGACACGAAAGTTGGAAACGATTGATTGTGTTGACATATGTGTAAATTGACGTGTTAGTGACATTTTAGTGGTTAGAACTGATAATAAGACGTAATTGCTTGTATGTGTGCTCCCGCCGACGCCAATCCTCCTACAAAGTAAGGTTGACAGCCATTCTACTGTGTATTATGGTATTCTATGTGCCCCGCCACGAGTGATGAAACTGCGCGGGAGCGTAAAACAGGTGTCAGTGCGGTGTGGCATGAGGTACGGGGAAGCGAAACTATAGCAACGGATGACGCGCTATCCCCACGTAGTGTTTCCCTGCGTCCCGTCGCCCGCGCACATTCTTGTGTCGTCTTGCGTACTATCGATATCGAAAGTGTTAGCGACTATCTGTTATACAATATTAACATTTTTGCGATTATTTATGGACTTTTAAAAATATTGTATAATATTTGCATATAGACTTTATGAGATTTGTAAAAATTAGCAAGATCTATTGAAAGATGACTGAATCATGTCATGCCCTCAGCGCTGTAACTCATTGCTAAGTCACTGCGCCACGGAGTAATGATGGTTAATATAGCGCATAGCGCCATATTATAGCGCGCTATCTCTTCATAACGCATAGCGCGTGCTATGTAAGTAGTCGCTATGGCGCTATTGCGCTATGGCGCATTGGCGCTATTCATATTCAAGCGGCAATTAGTTCTAGCAGCAGCGCTGTTGGGAGTAGACGTGTGACGCAAATTTAATCTAGCAGCACGCTATTCATCGCGCGCGAACTAATTTAGTGTTAGCCGTTATTTTGTTAGTGTATACTGTATATTTATAAGTGATCGAAGGACACAGTTGTCTGATAAAAAAGAAGCCTTCCTAATGTTTTTAAATGTAAATAAAATATAGACACAAAAGTGTATATAATAGTGTTTGTAAATAGTTGATTTTTGTTTATACAATCAATAAACTTTTAAATACACCTTTGATTTATAATTTATATTAAGGTTAAAATAACGTTTAAATCAATTATAATAAAAAATGATTAATTTTATTTTGTTTTAAAAAGTACAGTCCTTAAAAATATTTTTAGGTTTATAAAAAGTCGTAAGCCTGAAAAGTATGAAAGAGCGTTCATTAATTTTTCTTTACCACTTTATTTTATTTTAATCTAAAATGCGACTTATTACGAAACAATGTTCTTATATAGCACGCGGTCTATCCAATGAACGACATATAGCGTGTAGCATGTAGCGTGCTTCGAGATATAGCGTGCTGCTAAACCTTACGCGCTTGCCGGCCTCCTACACACTTTTTATAAATAGCACGCTATAACATAGCGTATTTAATAGCACGCTAGAAATTTCTAGTTTATAGTCTGTAGCGTGCTATTGATTTATAGTCGTTTTGATCAACTTTACCACGGAGCCATCGTCGTACTTTACTTTGCGGAAATCCATAATATTTAAGATGTTAATGTTAATTACTTAAGAATCCGTGTAAAAAATAAAAGTTAGGTGTCTTATCTAGTTTGAAGATAGTTTTTTTATTATTAACTGCAATATTTTTTATGATACTTATATACAGTTTCATAAATTTTATATTAATTTTTTGTAGGTCCTCTTAATGTCAACAGGCCAAACAAGGGTCCTGGAAATGGAAAATGGTATCAATAAATTTGTCATGAAGAAAGAAATACAACGTCAAGGGAAATTACTTAAAGAACAGAAAAAAGTGAGCTTTTATTTTATTTAGTCCCAAATTATCATGTCAACATTTTTGGTCTATACTTAGGCCGGTTTTAGAGCTCGACCGACCGTAAGTATTTGCATGAAAGCCATTAGCCATTTGTATGAAAATTCACAAGTCGTTACAGTGCTCGACCGACCGTACGCACGCGTATATTGCTACGCACTACGTACGAGGACCGTCGGTTAAGCGCGTCCGCATGCGTACCGTCCATCGACCGACGCGCAATGGAAACATATTGGCGCGTTCAGTGATACACCGATCGGTGGACCGACCGTACGGATGCGTGTCAAGAAAATCGAACCTAAACTTCAATAATATTGTATGATTTTATAGGTATTAAATAGTGTTAGTGATTTAAGTAATTTTTATCAAACATGGCATATGTCGACACCGAACGCCTAATTACCGAAGTCCGTCTTCGTGAACTTCTGTGGGTCAAAGGCCACGTGTTATACAAAGACCGTGATGCCAAGTTAAAAGCCTAGGAAGAAGTTTGTACAGCTTTGTTTCCGAATTTCGATGGGTGTACGTGATATCTACGTCTTCTGTTCTTTATACGTTTAGGTACGTACATAGTAAGCAGCAACTAAACAATTTGTAAACGCGTCCATTTCGTGTACGTGTTTGTGACTGTACCAGTCCGGCCAGTTTACTTGCTCAGGAGAGCACTGAACGCTACAAACTGACGATCGGTTATGCGTATCGTCAGGACCGATGGTACGCACCGACGGTCGGTCGAGCTCTAAAACCGGCCTTATCATTATTCATCGTTTTCTTAAAAGATAATTGAAAATGTTGAATCAATTTTACAAAAATATCAGTAACCATGAATTCAACAATGTTCCTATGTACCGAGGAGGCTGTGATGAAGATCACATCTAAAGTTCGAAATAGTCAAAGAAGTTGCTTATTGTGAATGACGAGTATGAGAGAGACTTTCCAATAACAGTAATTCCAGTGTTATTTCTGGAAAGTACTTATGGAATCAAGATCAATATTTGACTCCTTTCTGTATGATTAGCTCAAAATTACTTGGCAAGTATAGAAGGTCGTAGTTTTGACCGAGACCTTTGGTTTAGAAATGGAAGGTCGACAGCACTCGTGAATTGCAAGAACTAGAACATAATACACGATATTTTAAGAACATTTTAAGTTCGTTTAAATGCAACGGTGCTGCGCGGTCCACCCTTTCCTTGAAAGAAGGCCAGTGATTTGTAGTACGAATTGTAGACTTACTTTATCTTCATTTAAGGTGGGAAATGTCGAAATCTCTATAGTTCATAAAAGATAGCTTGATCTCTGCGACAGCCGTCAGTAAAATCACGCCTATGAAGTCCTGAATTTCTTAGTAGTACAGACGGTACCTGTCAATGTCATACTTTATGGGCATGCCGACCTAATTAGTGCATGCCCATAAAGTATGACATTGACAGGTACTGTCTGTACTACTAAGAAATTCAGGACTTCATAGGCGTGATTTTTAGTGACAGCTGTCGCAGAGATCAAGGTATCTTTTATGAACCATAACCATCTATACCATTAGTTTTATCATCGAATTGCCGGATCTGTGACAAGAAACGGTATCCTAATTGCAGAACGTCGCTTATCGTACATTGAATAAAACTATTTTACGGATTTTATCGCGTTTAACTAACTTATTTTTAAATTCCGACGTTTCGGGTGCTTTACGTACGGTGAGCCAACACAATGGGTGCTTCAAAGCACCCGAAACGTCGGGATTTAAAAAAAATTAGTTAATTAAACGCGGTATAATCCGTATGTGATCAAAAGGAAAAGAGGAGATATCCCGGCGGACAAGGGGTTCTGTCTGGGGAGCGGCCAACGCTCCGAGTGGTAGTTCAGAACTATTTTAAATGTACTGTTTTACTTCAGAACTTAGGCTTTGTTGCTTTGTTGTTTGTGGCGCGACGACAGCGCCGCCATGTATAAATAGTTTTATTCAATGTGTAGTGTTCGCGTAAATATAAAAAATCATTATCGCTTATCGCAATTTCCGTGCCAATAGTAGTGATTACTGAAATTCCTCCCTAAAGACACCCGTTTATCGTTGGATTTATACTCTCATTGTGGATATTCAGTTATAATAAGTGTTGATTTTGAAATCGCTGTGTGATGGCGGCGTAAGAGAATCATCCCAGGTCGGCTTGTTGGTTGTTATTACCTGATGTAAAAAAATTATACGTGGTAGAGCCACACTGCAGCTATATTATGGTTGTAGCACGAATGGGTCGGCTCGACTTGACCGGGGTAGGACCACGCCACCAGTGTTGAAGGTATTGCGAACGCCAAACCGCCTGCTAAGCTGAGTGATTATAGGAAGTTCTCCTTAGAGACCAGCAGTAATTGCTTATTAGATGATGAGTAGACTGAAAATATTTCCCATATTTTTAATTTACAGGCCCTTTCAGAAGTTGAATGGCCATTTTTACCGCGTGTGGATACAGTAGACATGTCCATAGTCGAAAAATACCGTGACGAAGCTGAACAGCATTTGGCTAGAAGAAACCTGTAAGTATTATTTTAATTAAATTTTAAACTTAGTGGCAAATACAATTAGTAAACAAGACGGAAAACTGAATGAATCTATTATATATTGGGTAATATATTTTTATTACGTGAGAGCAGCTATGCAGATCTAGGAAAAGAGACCAGTATCACTGCGACCTAAAGAAAGATCTATTGTGATCGCTGCTAAGGCAATAGTTCACTGCTAAGCCCATTGTCTTTAATGAATAGAAGGAGTTGCTTAGCTGTGAGCAATTATACTTCTTCTGGGTGGAGTATATAGTTTTCTAGATGAGTGTTACGTTTGCGCATTAAGGGTCCGCAATCAGTTAGGATATGCAGAGGCGTTTTTCCCTTTATGAAACAGAACCGGAACATCCTTAACACGCTCAGCGCCATGTGTATTGTTAATGATACACACTGTCAAAACATTGTGTATCACTCACGATACACAACCTACCTTTTGGTTTTTGCCTTGTGTATCCCTAATGAACACGCTTTCTATACATTTTCTACTACAAAAAAATCCTCTGGCCTAGGACAGTTTTTTTAGTTTTTTTGGGTTGGGAATAGGACATATGGTTCTAAAAAAAAATATTTTGCACTAGTTTTATATATAAAAAAATCAAAATTATAAACACATTTCTTACAACTAATAATCATCTTTAAAAAGATAAAACCTCCGGTAATCCTCATATAACCATGTTTCAAAAAAAAAAAAAAACTAAAAAATGAAAACTGAAAAGTGGATGTATTTCAAAATCAGCTCAAATTTATTTCTCGGTATAACGGATCTTGCTAGCGGTAATCCATATAGCCTATGGATTCTCTAATAATCATTTATGCTTGGGAGTTTTACAAGGCCCATCCAACTAATAAGGGCAAGAAGCTTTGTCATATCATCCACCGTTACTGGGACCCGTGCATGGGTTCGGCTGCTTGGAGTTGCATCCGTTGTAAGCAACTATTGAGCAGCGTATAAATTGGTTTGGTCAAATACTTTCTCTAAAATATCTCTAGTCAGAAACAGTTCAAAATAGTCCAATGGCTTTGCATGAGCTAAAATGCCAGAGAATATATCCTTCATCCCAGAGAAGGGAACAGTGTTCTCAATACTTTCTGGATCTTCATGTGATGGCATCTCCCATTTTATGTTTTCCAACTTTCGTTTTAGCCAAGTCATCTCTGTTATTTCAGAAGATGTTGTACCAGAGGAACTTGGAATATAAGCTTCTTAGCTTCGAATCTCTGCCAACAATGTCATCTGAAAATGTGGATTGTCTCCTTTGTGCAGCTAGTAGATTCCAGGTTTCCGATGCTGAATCTGCTTTCCTCTACGGAGCCGTCATCACAGGGATTATAGTTAGGATCATATGTAGAGTCGTCGCTATCAAAGTCCATTTTTTATTTTGTTCTAAATGCACTTTACATGGATAATTCACAATTATTCTGAAACAAATGAAAAAAAGTTAGGAAAACTATTATATAACAAATCATTGAAGTTTTCCTAATTTTTTTTTCAATTTGTCAATATTTTTCTTCATTTGTCTTCCATATTTCTCAAATCTAAAAAGCAAGAAATATTAAATTAGTGTGTATCTATAACGATACACCTGGCCTGGGAGAATGAGTTTTGAGTCAAAACTTTTTCGTAGGCCACGTGTATCATTATCGATACACAGCGAAAAATAAGGGGGGAGTGGTGGGGAGGGGAAGAAAATAAATTATTATAAACTCTAGGACACTAAAAAGCTCATATAGAATACTTTTAAATTTTTGTCTCAAATCGTCTGAACATCGAGTCTTAGCTTGGCGCTGAGCGTGTTAAGTCGCTTAGTCACAGGAAGCTTGTGTTTTGTGTTTTTTAAGACAACAGTGACCAGTTAGGGCTCTTGCCAGAATATGCAATATATTTTTACTTAATCCCAGGGTTTCTGAAGCGAATTTACGATGAAAAACCCGGATTAAGGTCTTAGAAAGTTTTAAGCCTAGTGTGTCAGACCAGATCTTAAGTGATTTATTGAGATAAAGAGTTTCAAGGGTCAATCGGGCTAGACTTCTTGAGATTCCACATTCCGAGTTTGTCGGCAAGTTCATTGCCTACAATATCCGCGTGACCAGGAATCCATCTTAAGACGACCCTGTTGTTCACGCAGTCTCTAACTAACTTCGAGTTCACTAATTTTGACCTCAGCGCTAGCAGTGCTGCTTGACTATAAGAGTTACTATGGTTGACATAGTATTTTTGCAGATTGATTTCCGCACATATTATATTAGGTAAAATGTCCTAAAGTCCATATCTCCTATAGTTTATTGAGCGACTTTGAGCTTCCTTATGACCATTTGACAATGCACAACAGCAGATTTTAAGAAATATTTCAATGAGACATGTTGAAATTTCCTGAATGCTGCCTAAGCCGGTTGTATATGTTGATTTACTTTTGGACGTTTTTAAAAAGAATATTATTTACATAATAGAATTTTCTCCTGAATCGTGGGGTCAGTTACATAAATTTCTCAAAGACAAACATACTTGTTTCGTGCGGGATACGAACGCGCGGCCTTCAGAGCCTCGACTTGTAATTTAGCCACTGCACCACAGAACCGTCAAATTGGTCAACAACTTGTAGTGTAATGTTCCCAACAAATACCGGTCTAAATCTAGATGCGACATGTACATTCAGATATGTTCTTCGTTTTATTGTTGTGTTCGTCTTAAGAGCTACATGCTCGAGATCATTGAGTATTGTGCTGTTTCTCGCTATCCTACATGTATTCGACATTGATGTTGATACCGTATAATTTAATAAAAAGCAGCGGCATTATGTATTACTGTAGTTGCAGAATAGACATTGCCGTCTCTCTGTCCATTGGAAAACCCTTCAGCCGTGCAATATACCGACAGCCAATTTAACGTCACGTGAAAAGACTAGCCTAAATTTGAGCATAATTTAAGTTTTTCCTATACTCTAAAACAAGACAACGCGGCAGATTGTACTCTTCAGTCTTTTCTACATTTGCCTTGTGGTCGCTGCTAAGGCAATAGTTCACTGCTAAGCCCATTGTCTTTAATGAATAGAAGGAGTTGCTTAGCTGTGAGCAATTATACTTCTTCTGGGTGGAGTATATAGTTTTCTAGATGAGTGTTACGTTTGCGCATTAAGGGTCCGCAATCAGTTAGGATATGCAGAGGCGTTTTCCCTTTATGAAACAGAACCGGAACATCCTTAAGTCGCTTAGTCACAGGAAGCTTGTGTTTTGTGTTTTTTAAGACAACAGTGACCAGTTAGGGCTCTTGCCAGAATATGCAATTTATTTTTACTTAATCCTAGGGTTTCTGAAGCGAATTTACGATGAAAAACCCGGATTAAGGTCTTAGAAAGTTTTAAAAAAGGGGATTCAAAAAAGTCCTTTTTGGTTTGGTAGGGGATGCAAGAGTGAAAATATTAAGTTTACAATTAAAAATATATATATTTTTAAAATTGACTTAAGAGACTTATCTACTTGTGGGTGTTGTAACAGTCGACAGAGTAATATGAAACCAGAAATGGACAGCATCTGTCTGATAACAACTCAGAATTATTAAAAGACTGCGGTTGCCAATCACCTGCCAAGTGCGGCAAATATGGCAAACTTACCCATAATATATGAGTACTACTAAAAACTTGCACATACAATATGAGGCAATCTATCTGTGGGCTAGTAAACCTATGCGATGGGCTGTAATGATAATGATATTATAAAATTTGTTATTGTATTATAATATATCAACGCACATAATGAATTTGAACCTTACACAAAGGTATTTTGGTGTAAGGTTTAAATTCATTATTTATGATAATATTAATTTTTTAGGAGTTATCAAAAAGCCCAGGATTATATACAGCGCGGAATGACTCAGGTAGCAGCCTACTATTCGGAACTCGCTGCTCTACACAAGCAGAAATATGAACAGGCCAATAGCTTAGCTGCCGCTTCTCTTATACAGGTAAGCTGATTGTAAGTAAAACAATCTTTACGAATAAAGAAAAAAGTTTAAAAAGGTATTTATCCTAAGTCTTAAATCGTGCATAACAGATAATTTTAATATGTGTCGAGGTAGGTTAAGAAAACTCGAAATGTTGTATAATGTATAAACATTTGAAGAATACTTAGACCAATGAAAGAAAGCACCCTCAAAGTTGCTGGGTATTTGCGATCTAAATCGAAACAGTTTTATGTATTTATATTTTTAGTTTTAATTGTAATGCATTTTGCGTTCCCGAAATTGCCAAAGAAGTTTCTCTTGTACATGTGTAGCTGACTTGTGTTCCATTTTTTTTGTTAATTCGCCTAAAGCCTAGTCATTAAATTGACTTATTCGAGTATGATGTGTAAAAAAGAAAAGTAAAATAAAATATAAATAATTTATTTCTTTGACTAAAAACTGGCAAAGGATAATTAATTATTGCTTGTACACAACTGCACATGGTACTGAAATAAAACATAAACAAATAAGAAAATCTATTTCCAAAATATCCACATCTAATCTAAGTTTTTGAAGTCGCGGTATATGTCACTGTAAGGTATTGCTCGTTGTGATATGATACATATTTTTACATCAAATTACTAATAGCGCCAGAAAGGGCTCTACCGGATAATAGAACCCGCTCTACACATAGAGCGCGCTCTACACAGAGAGCGCGCTCTAAACAAAGAGAGACCACCATCAATGCCCCGAGAACAGTGCCTTCATACCAACGCAGACCACCACCCACGTCCGGCCACGAGACAGCCGGTGCCATCCACAGATTGGTAGGCATAGCTATCGAGGTTAGTACACAAGTCCTGGCCGACATAAGGGCCGGGACAGACCCCGTAACCGCCGTGATGAAGGCACTGGAATCACTACTGGCAAGGCATTACGGAGGACAGTAACCTGCGTCTGCTTTACTGGAACCCGGACGGGATTCAACAAAGGATCCATAAACTCCGCACGGTCGCCCAGCAGCAGGACATCCAGGCGATCTTGCTGGGAGAGACCAAAATAAGACCATCAACGCATCTAAAGCTGCCAAATTATACCGTTTATAGGATGGACGAGGTCAACCCTCAATGGATCGCTTATAGAGGGACAGCGATTCTGGTGAGAAGGGACATCGTCCACAAAGAACTGGACCTACCAGAATTCCAGACGATGCGTTCAATCGGCATAAAAATTGAGGCGGCGGGCGAGGAACTAAGGATCTTTGCAGCATACCGCCCGCCAGGGACTCCATTCTACTCCTTAGACATCCGGACTGTTATGGAAGGTACGACACCCATCATCATCGCCGGGGACCTAAACGCCAAACACCCGGCGTGGGGGTCAAGATTGATCAACCCGCCGGGTCGTGAGAAAACGAAGACGCAAAAAACCACAATTATGACGTTCTAGGTCCCGAGGAACCAACGCACATCCCTACAGACCCTAGGAAGAGTCCGGATGTATTGGACATCGTGCTCTCTAGAAACGTCAACTACCCAGTAGTGGTAGAGGTGCTGTACGACCTAAACACACAAGCACCTCCCGATTCTGATTACACTTGGCACCAAGGCAGTGACTTCGCCGCCCAGAGCCGTTAAGACCAAGATCGACTGGAGGCTCTACCACCAACACCTGCAGGAGAGACCTCCAGTTCACGCACCGATCCACTCAGCGGACGACGTAGAGGCCGCTGCAACCAGAATATCCATGAGCATCCAGGAGGCCCTCAACGCGGCCTCTACGATCGTCCCTCTCTCTGGAAGGAAGGAAGAGCTGCCGCGAGAGATAAGCGTGCAGCTGAAACATAAAAGAGCGCTGAAGAAGCTCTGGGTGCGCACTCGCTGCCCCAGAATCAAAATGAAACTGAACACCTTAACGGACGAACTGTAGGTTGCAATACAGGTCCACAGAGGAGAGGCCTGGGAGCGGCGCATTTGGAAGGCTGATGAACATCAAGCGTCGCTCTATACATTGAACCGGCAGTTAAGGAAAACTCGCCCACCCGTTTGCCCGCTGACCAACAACGCCAGCGAACAGCATTATGATGCCAAGGGCAGAGCGGATATCCTAGCAGAGCGCTTCGAGGAGCAGTTTATGCCGAACCCAGCAAGTGCGGAGTTCATGGAAATCCATACCCGGAAGGAGAGCCGCGTGCAGGAGTTCCTGTCGTCGCCCTCGCCACCGCTTGCAGGAGAATGGTTTGTCTCCCCCGCTGAACTGCGGCGGTCAGTAACCCGCCTGCGATCGAGTAAGGCGCCGGGGCACGATGGAATTACCAACGTTGCACTACGACAGCTGCCCAATAGAGTCCTTGTAGAGATAGGTCGGCTCTACAATGGCATATTGCGGACATCCCACTTACCGTAGGACTGGAAGAAAGGCAAAATCATCGTCTTGCCGAAACCCGGGAAGGACAGGTGTAGAGCTGCTACAGGCCGATTACGCTGCTACCGCATATAGCTAAACTGTTTGAAAGAGTATTGCTAAGACGCCTCCGCCCGTGCATCCAACTTCGGGCGGGACAGCATGGATTCAGGAGGGATCACTCAACAGCAACACAGCTGACCAGAGCACCTGCTTGCGGTCAAGCACAACCGCGGCCGCACATCGTTGGGCGTCTTTCTCGATATCGAGAAGGCGTTCGATAGGGTGTGGCACCCTGGGTTACTCTACAAGTTAGAAGACCAGACCAGTGTCCCTCCTGCTATATTGCAGCTAGTGTCGTCCTTCCTCGTAGACAGGAGGTTCTACGTCTGTGTAGAGGACAGGACGAGTCCGCAATAAAACCCATAACAGCTGGTGTTCCACAGGGCAGCTGTCTGTCTCCAGTCCTGTACGCGGCTTACACCAATGACATCCTCACCCTGGCAGGTCATCTGCGCGATTGGGAGGACGACGTAGAGCTGGCTCTATTTGCGGATGACAGCGCCTACTTCACCTCGTCCAGAAGAGCCCACATCGCCACTGCCAGGATGCACCGTCTGCTGGACCTGCTGCCACCATGGCTGGATGAGTGGAGGATGGCCGTCAATGTTAACAAGACGACCGCTCTGCTCACTCGCCGCTTCAGAAGACTTCCGCCACTGCTAACCTCAGAGGCCAGGGGATCGCGTATGAGAAGGCCGTGACCTACCTTGGATGCCGGTATGACAGGATGTTGCGCATGACTGCGTACGTTGACTTCGTCGTTCGCAAAGCTCGATGTGTGCGGGCGATGCTCCGTCCAGTCCTGGTATCCAAGTTACCGACAAAGTCGAAGTTATTCATATACAAAATGTACATCAGACCCCCGCTAACATAAGCTGCTAGCGGCCAACTTAAGAATAGAGAGCCTAGAAGAATTCGTAGTCCGGCTTGCGCGCACATACCGACCGCGCCGACAACGGGCCACATGAACACCTCAACGGCTTCGCGCCGTTGCACACACGGCTCCGGACGGGCGACCCTATCCAAGAGAACTCCTCCCTATATAGATTAGAGAGTCGAGTAAACTCCACAATGCCGCAGATAGGCCAACTCAGACAGACAGCTGCCGTACAAAATATTTGTATCTAAATACAAATATATGGACAACCCCCTTTTAAAAAAAATGATTACCCGATTGCGACATCATTTTTGTAATAACATCGCCTTTAACACCAAAGGCGCCCAGGACCGGCACACTGTAGTGTGCCGTGAGGAATGTCCGGGTAAAGGGGTATACCCCGAGGCCCGATACCTGCTGGGCAGAAAGCCCATGCAGATGACAACAGCTCAGCTCAGCTCAGCAAATTACTAAGTTTTGTATTGGTTCAAACTTTTCTACCTTTAGTTTAATACTACAAGTCGTCACGGCTAAGCACTTATAATTCTTGTTAACTGTTAAACATTTAAACTAAATCAGCTTTAAAATTTACAACATGCCTTAAATAAACTTAAAAAATACTTGATGATAGTGCATAGACATATTGATTTTAAAACGTGACAAGAAAATTATAATTATTATTTTGTGGGTTGTGCTTCTGGAGGACTTTAACCTTACAGCCCTGAAGTGCCGGTTTTTCACTCGCTTTTAAAAAGCTCCACTGTAATTCCATCCTTGCCCTGAGGCCTTGTTGTTCTTATGATGCTAGTCATTTTAGTCTTATTCAAACTGATATCCAGGATATCATCGGAATAGTGTTTAGTGAGACTTGCTCTGTCATTACTAACACTGGCTGGCTGCAATGATGATGTGGACAGTTTTCTAATCTAAAACATGGTTCTACTTGGCCATATGAAGAAACTCAAGGTCACTCAGCGTGCTATGGAGAGAAATAACTCGAAGTTTCTTTGCATGATAGACGTTGTGATGGGGATATCCGCAGTAGAACCATACTCACCAATATAGCCCAACAGATCAGTAAGCGGAGGTGGTAATAAAGCCAGTCATATTGCTCGGAAAGCAGGAAAACTATGGCAAAGGTTCTTTAGTGGCAGCCTCATACCGCTAAGCGAATTGAGACTTTGTGATGGGGATATCCACAGAAGAACCATACTCACCAATATAGCTCAACGAATTAGTAAGTGGAAGTGGTAATGAGCCAGTCACATTGCTCGAAAAACAGTAAAACGACGGCTAAGGTTCTTTAGTGGCAGCCTCATACCGCTAAGCGAATTGTAGGGCGGCCCGCCACTAGATTGAGTGACAACCTGGTAGGGGTATGTATGAAGTTGATGCGTGCAGATGGTTCAGGACCGTACTTTGTGGCATTTGCTGGGGGGGGGGGGGGGGCTATATTATTAAGTTGACTTATGACTCTTTCCACTGTGTATGGACACAGTGGAAAGACTCATAAGCAGCTTTTGTACCTTAACTACTCACAATGCATCTGTAAGTTACTAATTATTGTTTCGTAATACTATTCTACATATTTTTATATCAGTTAACAAATGCTTATATTGTTTTAATCTTTCCAACCTTTGGTTTATCTTTATCACTACAAATAGTCACGGGTAGGCACATTTCGCTCTTGTTAAATATTACAAATCTTGCTCTAGATTGGTCGCTTATTATGTACTTGTATTCCCGTCGGTCCGCTAAAACTGTTTCTGACTGGAAAATAAATTGTGGTAAAAAATGCTTTATGCATGGCATAGCTGAACACTAGGCGATGCGTGTTTCTAAAACCTTCAAATATATAATTACCATAAGGCTATTTAAAAGCTGTCACTCGGATGAGCCTGCTCGAATCGGGGTGGTACCACGACCTCATAGAGTACCTGCGTTTTTATCAGAAGGGTACCAGCACTCCTGGTGATAGAGAATCCCTCGCTGAGCATCCACGACCAAGCTATCTTTTCTTGAGCGTGGGTGCTCAGACAGTCCCGCGTATTCTTGGGGGGGGGGGGGACGGAGGCAATTCCACCCGCAAATAAAACTGCTCGGGGCAAGCGGAGCAATAAGGCGACCCCTGTCACGCTATCACTGAATTTTTGCAACATCAGGGGACTTCATTCCAACGTTAACGCTGGCCGTTACCATCTGGAGACAGCGAAGCCGATTTTTAACCGACTGAGGTGTCCTCTCCAGCTGATACTTCATATCTCTCCTACCCGGGGTACAAATTAGAACACTTCTTTGTGCCCTGAGCTGGAGTTTGCGTATACGTCAGAGAGGATGTCTCTTTTCGACGCCTCGGCAGTCTTGAAGGTACGGACCTGTCCATCCTATGGCTGCGCGTAGACATCGATGACCAACCCCGCGTCTACGGGTGCCTAATGAGACCGGCTCATCGACCACGTTCAAATGGCTACAAATTTCGCCCTACAGCAGATCCCATCCGCAGAGATCGTGATCCTTGGCGATTTTAACACCCACCACGCCGAATGGCTCGGTTCACGCTTAACCGATCATGCGGGGAGACCTGTTTATGACTTCGCCTTGGCATAATATGGTCTGACACAACTGGTTACTTCGCCTTCGACTAGGCTCGTTGGACCACTGTCTTGTCCAGAGAGTGCTGCCAGACAGATTAACGTCACGGTTGGATTCTGCAAGTTGTCGCCGTGTTTGGCACTATAGGTCGACCGATTGGGATAGGATGTGGTCTTTTTTGCATCTTACCCTTGGGGGTTTGCTCCTCGCCAGACGATCCCAGCGTTGTTGCTGATTCTGTCGCTGATATGGTACTTTAGGGTATGCAACTTCTTATTCCATCCTCTGTGGTGCCCATCGGAGGCAGATCCCTGCCGTGGTTTGATTGCTTCTGTAAAAAACATCACGCTATATGCAGGAGTGCTACCGGGCCTGGGCTGACACATCAACATATGGGATGTAAACACCAGCGCTCTTAAAAAGAAGTATAATTCCGTCTCCAGGTCCTTCAAAAGAGTTATAGCAAAGGCAAAGTCAGCACATTGGCAGAAATGGCGTGAAGCTGGTTCGCCTTCCTTCGGGAACCCGTGCATTCTGGTCTCTCACCAAAGCTGTCCAAGGGAACTTCTGTCAGTCATTTCTTCCATCTCTGCACAGAGAGGAAGACTCATTGGCCCATGCCGCAAAGCACAAAGTCCATCTGTTAGGCTCTCTTTGCGTCTAACTCGACTCTCGATGACAGGGGGAACACACCGTCGATCATCCTCCGGTGTGAGTGCTCCATGCCGAATGCTCGGTTCGCAAAGCACTCCTCTCCCTGGACGTCAGCAAGTCGAGTGGGCCTGATGGAGTCCCTCCCATTGTGCTGGAGACGTGTGATCCCATAGAATACAATAATGCATACATAATATAGGCTACACGTAGTAGCCTCACCTCACAACTAAAATGCCACAAGAAGTCAATTCGCACGTACAAATGTCAACACGAGATGTGTTTTGACGTTACAATCGTTTCCAAATTTCGCATGCAAATTATTTAGAAAATGCCAAATTGCACGCTATTTAGAAATAAATAAAATCCGTCTGTAAACACAGCGAATCGGGTTTGTAGTAGTGATTAAATGATAATACGACGTAATTGCTTGTATGTGTGCTCCCAGCGACGCCGAACCTCTGTACAAAATAAAGTTGACAGCCATTCTATTGTGTATTATAGTATTCAATGTGTGATCCGGAGTGGCACCGGTTTCAACGCGTCTTTTCCGGTACTCCTACTCGCAGGGCGTTCTCCTGAATTCATGGAAGACAGGGTTGGTCCACCCGATCCTTAAAAAAGGCGACCGTTCAGACTCGTCCAACTACAGGCCTATCGCCATCACCTCCTTCTTCTCCAAAATAATGGAGTCCATTATAAACTGCCAGCTTATGAGGTACCTTGAGGATCACCAGCTGATTAGTGACCGCCAATACGGTTTACATTGTGATCGATCAGCTTGTGATCTTCTGGTCTACCTGACTCATAGATGGGTGGAGGCAGTAGAGTACGGGGAAGGCATTGGCCGTTAGTTTGGACATAGCGAATGCATTCGATCGGGTCTGGCACAAAGCGCTTCTTTCGAGGCTCCCTTCCTATGGGCTTCCAGAGAAATAGTGCAATTGGATCACCAGTTTCCTTGCTGATCGGAGCATCAAGGTAGTAGTAGACGGTGCATGCTCCGATTTCAAGCCTATTAACACTGATGTTCCACAAGGCTGCGTGCTATCACCAACGCTGTTTCTTCTGCATATTAATGATATGTATGTTGCAAACTGGTAAAATTTATTGCTATGGAGACGACAGCACTGGTGATGCCTTATACACCGGCCGTGCCAATATTTCTCGGGAAATCGTCGCCGCGTACCGGGACAAACTTGTGTCTAAAGTCGAGTCTTTGCTTAACAAAGTCTCGGATTGGGGGCGACTAAATCTAGTCGCAATTCAATCTCCAGAAGACACACGTTTGCGCGTTTACCGCTTAGAAGAACCTCTTTGTCATATCTTCTCAGAGGCGAAGGCCAAATTGGCCTCTAAAAAGCTATTCAGAGCGAGACAGTATTTCATGCCGGCACATCGCTTGCAACTTTACGAAGCGCAATTTCGGGCTCACATGGAATACTGTTCTCATCTCTAGGCCGGTGCATCCCAGTGCCAGCTCCTTCCACTTCACCGCATCCAGCGCAGAGCGGTCCGAATCGTCGACGACCGAGTTCTTTCTCATCGCCTCGATTCGTAGGGATGTTGCATCCCTTTGCGTTTTCTGTCGTATCTACCACGGGGAGTGTTCTGAGGAATTGTTCGCATTAGTTCCAGCCGCCAAATTTCACGAACGCACATTGCGCCAAAATTCACGATACCATCCTTACCATCTCTGGATGCTTGGCGGTCCACTACTGTGCGTTTTACTAGAAGGTTTCTTCCTCGTAGGTACAACATCTCTGTGGAATTGTTTACCACCGGCGATTTTTCCGGACTGATACAACTTAGGGACCTTCAAGAAAAGAGCTTACTTCTATCTAAAAGGCCGGCAATCCACCTGTAATTTCCCTGGTGTGGCGGTTGTTCATGGGCGGCGGTAGTCACTTACTATCAGGTTAGCCGCATGCTCGTTTGCCCCTCTTCTATTAAAAAAAATACGTGTGGCACTCGGTGACTGCCGCGATAAAGCTATTGCATAGCATTTTTTATCAACTTATGCAATTATAATTATTTATTTATTTTATTTATGCAGTTAAGTCTTCGATATTAAATCAAGTTACACTTTTTGAGCCTGGTGACCGATAAGAAAACAACTTTTTTTCTCTTATTGAATAAATGAGAAGTTAATATTGTTTAAAATATTTTTAATATCTTACAATACATGTAGGTTATTCAGGAATTTTTATCATTGAGTTAGCAGCTAGTGTACACGCATACTTCTAGTCGCACGCACATAAACACCGTGCCGAACTCTGCCGAGTGTCGAAGTCTGCCGAACTGAAATGACGTTAGACGATGCACGGCTTTCAACGCCACACCTCCGTGCTCTTCGGAGTGGGGAACGTGAGGTTTTTTTTCGTTACGGAATTTCTGGATTCGGTCCCCGCGCTCAAGGCCCGCGATAGAAGCTATGCAATAGCTTAAAAAATCCACTTTGACTGCACCTTTATTTGTAGTTGTTTCCTACAAGTTGCTGGGGCCACTCATCGCGGGGTGGATTACATTTTGATATGGTTTATCATTAAGAGCATAATAATAAATAAAAATAATCTGGAAGTGTGGTTTTTTTTGCGAGCAACTATGCAAGTCCTGCGAGACTAGTATGACTGCGACCAGTATACAAGTTCACGCGGATATAAAACCTTATCGCATTGCTATCACCGCATATCATGTCGCGACATTTGTGCAAAAACTATTCTAGATTAAGTCCGATGTTAAGACTCGTACAGGATGTTACATTTTTTTTCAGGTGCACGCATCGAATAATCCCGATAACTCTACAATTGACCTTCACTACTTACGAGTAGGAGAAGCAAGGGAAAGCCTAGATTTGTTCCTCGATGCTCACATACAGAAACTTCGAGAAATACAGCACAGAAGCAATTTAAGACATCAGAATTTATATTTTATAACTGGGCGCGGTTTACACAGCAACGGTAGGCCCAGAGTGAAACCCGCTATCAAGAAGAGACTACAGGAAAGAAATTTAGCGTAAGTTCTTGTTTACAATAATTTTATTTGATGAAAATATTAAGTGGAAAAAATCTGGTCAAGTATATTTAAAATGACGCATATACACGTAGGGTTAGGAAAAAAGTATCATGCAAATAAAACCAATTTAGTTCAATTATTGAAATGTTAAGAAGTAAATGCAGCACTCAACTGCAGCGATCTATATTTTTAAAATAGAATTCGTTTTAAGCAAGCATTTATTGCGAGTGTTTTATTGGTATAATTACATAAAATGTTGCCTCGGCGAATGAACATAAATCTAAAGAAACCATTTCTTCAAAATCCATAAAGTTGATTAGACTAAAAGAACACAAAGAAACAGGCAAACAATCATACATACAACTAGGTTTTTATGTTTTTTGGAGTATTTTTAAGTCAATTCTTCTACTTGAGGCTTAAGTTGAGAACCTTGACATCGACGCAAATGCAATAGTTTCAAAACTAAAGACAGCTGGCACAATGCGTCCTTGTCTAATGTACGCTATGGTAGCGCACTACTTCGCTCCAGAAATGTTATTTTTAATTAACTACAAAGTTTCACCCCATTCAAATTGCGCGCGGATTATAATATATTTAGTTATTTCAGTTGCTTGAATAACCTTATCTTCAGCATTTTAAATAGTTATATTAACAACTCAGACCATTTTAACATTTAAAGCTAAATAATTTAATTTTTATCGGATTTAAACCCTAAGCTTTCAAATAGTTGACTTAAGGTGAATTAGACCAAATGACAGTAAATTTTATTCTTATAGCCGATTTACATTTCGACAAGTACAGTAGCGAGTTTAGTTACAGGGCAGTTGACAGTAAACGGTTAAGTGGACAAGTTGTGTTCAAATGTCTTTGTGGAGAGTTTAGTCAAAAAATGTAAAGTCGAACGTAAAGACGTTGCGTCCTGTCAACTTTGCACTGTACTAAACTCGTTCGTTCACACCGGGCGGCGAGTTTAGTGCGGGTGGCGGGAGACGCGCGGGAGGGCAAAACTTTGAACTTAACTCTCCGAAAAATACACCGGCCGGCTATCCCGTTCAACATAATTGTTAACTTGCTACTTAACTCACTAATTGCCATTTAAACGAGATTTTTAATTTAACTCACCAGGTTCGCAGGTTAACTCGCGACTGTACTTGTCGAAGTGTAAATCGGCCCTTAGAATTAATCGCCATTTACTCAAGAATATACCAATTTAACGTTTTACCATTTGCAATTCTAAGAATAACGACCCTATTCGGTTACTTAACCACCCTTTCGCACCGCATTACAGAGTTATTCCAAGAATATTTTAATGCCGTCATAGGTTTTTTTTACTAATATAACAGTCAGTGTCAATTTCAGGCTCATCAGATATGTTTCTATTTTGTGTTTACCCTCACTCATTTTGTATTTCAAAATAACGAATATTATCAAAAAGTAATACAAAAAAAAAAAAACAACAACAAAGAAAAATACAAACCTCGGTAAACAACTGGACATTGTCACTTGTTGACGACTATTTTTGACACTTTAATACGAAAAAAGCGAGTGGACATGACCTTTTTTTACATCGTCCTTAATAGAACAATACTTATTTGCCTAATATTTGTTAGTTCTTCAATCTCTCTACTACACACGTATAGTTATTCCAAGCAAAGTTGTAATTTAGATTGCACAGAAAAACGATAAACGATTCCAAATTTAAATTAAGGAATGGCTCATCCCTGGTATATTTAATCAAGTATAAAATGAGGTTTGGTCAAATCCACCCTTAAATGACTATTAATAAAAACTGCAGCCAGTTTGTTTGCTTAAGTAACAATAATGCTTTTTTTATGTTAGCGCTTTGTTTCTTTTCAGTTTTAGCGAAAGGAATCCCGGCCTGCTTGCAGCTAGAGTGAGTGCTGATGATAAATTATCACACCAAATCGGCTAGTATCAAAATCAATCTCCTTTGGGGAGCTACCACTTTCAGTGGTTGCCAAATGTACATTATTATTACACTTATGGGTACTACTGGCAATATGTACCAAATTGTTGCGTACCAAATTGTTACATGCATTATTTTTATTATTATCACTATTTCTATTGGCCCCGCTAAAGTCCATATGATGAGATATTTGCCATTATGTAGTGTTGAATAAAATTTAAAAAATAATGTAAGTAAATTGTAAGAATGATGTCAATTTAATGTTTACGCGGCATTGATGTGAATAACTTTAAGTGACATTCTTTTCTCGTTTAAGAGCTTACTGTATATATATTTATTAAGAAATTTTAAGTTTTATAAAAATTGGCATATGAAACAAATTAAAAATTAAAAAGCGAGGTGATATTTTGGCGAATTTATGCGTGAACGCGCACCATTTTGGAGCTTGATTTTTTTTACTAGGAACGGTTCATGAGACTTGGTCTATGGGGGATATTGTAGGGGTTATTTGTGAGACTGACAATAAAAGCGTTTTGCAAATGTAGAATGAAGAGAAAGATATTTACATGTACATACAAATAAAAATAAATAATAATTTTTATAAACATAAAATGTGCAGCCAATGTTAGGTTTTCCGTGTGTAACCTTTGTAAATGTTAACCTAGAAATGTTTTGTATACATAACATTAAGTACTGGATAAAATTATATTTTTTACTAATTGTTTTATATTTAAAAATTGTTTGTTATCTGTTGACGATTTCTTTTAGAATAAGGAACGAATAGGTTATTGCCGGGATTTTTTTTACTGGCATTTTTTGCTCAATGTATTTTTAGCGTTTAAAACTGCAGTGGTTTAAGTAAATAACGGTTTATGTAATTTGACAAATTTGTTAGATTATTTTAACCTTCATAAGATTAATTTTACTTACAATAATGATTAACTATTTAGAAGATTCCAATAACCTCCACCAGATTCTTATTATCTGTATTATTTAATTTTCCTCGGTGTTATTTAATTTTTAGATTATAAGTGTTTTATCTGTGATGTTAACAGGGTTTCATTTGTTTTAAAACTATACCATATCATTATAAAACGTGTTTAATTATTTCTTTAATTTTGTTTGAGATTAGTTATGAACAAGTCATGTTTTTTTTATGTTTAAGAGCAATGTTTCCCATAAATATGTTTGGTAAACGTTTACATAACAGCGCACAAAATCTATGAATATTCTTACATAATTTCGCAAATAAAATGTTATATCACACATATTTAAATTATAAGATGAATTAAATAATATTTAATTTTAATAACAAAACAAGTTATTTATTGGTTGGAAACCCTGTTAGTTATGTTTTTTAAATTAAGTCCATGGGTCAAAAGAGGAGGTACGATTTGAATATGAAATAATATAAGTTACCATGTAAATAATGACACTATATTGATTGAATTTATCATATCGTAGTGTATATAAGTGTGTGCTGTTCGCGAATACAATCGGAGACATACTTTAGTGTAATTGATACTTTAGAAATAGTTTTTATTCTTTAGACTAGTTAGCAGTTAAATATTTAATTATAAGTTGTATCAAGTACTATATTTACTTAATGGTAAAATGTGCCATATGTCGATCGTAATAAGACATGTTTTTATCGTACGATTTTTCAATATGAAATACGAAGTGTTTGATCATATTGATACAACATGGAGCATATTTTCAAGTATACATAAACGCGTGACATTAGAAGTTGTGATTGTTCACCTAATTACGAGTGCATTTGAAGTGGTCATGGGTCCAAATATCTAAGAACTAGTTTTTCAGAAAAAGAGCATCAACAAGAAATTGATTAAAAATTCAAAACTCATTCTGAAACACATGACCGTTATAACGAACAAAACCAAAGAAAGCTGCAATAAAATGCGGAACCCCTAATTATGACACTAACGGATTTTGAAACATGCCTGCTATCGTGTCAAAGCATTGCTTATGCGCGAATAAGGCTTTTATACTGATCTTCTGTTCTGCTACGCGGATATAGATGATTTACGATCATATTAAATCATTATCAATGTTTGTAGCTGGTAGTTGTAGTGTCGTATAACCGTCGTGTAGTAGTCGTCGTCTTGGTGTCTGTAGTTTAGATCGATGTATGCGATAGTTTAGATCGATGTATGATCGATGTAGGAATGTGCTTATTTTGTTTCATCACTAAAGGAGAACTTTGGGAGTGAATAAAGAAATGAAGTACAAATATTTCTATAGTGCATATTGAATGAGGGATAATAACAATCTTCCGCTCACTTGATGTCGTTCGTTGGTACTGAGGTGAAATTTTTTGTTGCACAATGTCATTTACTTGAGAAGTTAATTTAAAATTAACGTTAATCACTTTTTGAAGTAATTAATACATAAAACAATGCATTGCTTTCTAATTTTTTGCACATTATGATTCTTCTTTTTGGAATATCAGTAGTTAGGTCTATTTTTTCTTATCTAATAATATACATTATAGATAATATTACAGAAAGAAATCTGTAAAATATAATGATTTCTTATATTTACGCGAACACTACACATTGGACAAAACTACTTTTACGGATTTTATCGCGTATTCTCTTGGTCAATCACCTCAATGCCTCGTGATTCATGGGTGCTGGAAAGCACCCGAAACGTCGGGAATTAAAATCAAGTAAATTTAACGCGATAAAATCGGTAAAAGTAGTTTTATTTAATATGTCGAATATTTCACCTCATTCCAAAGTGGCCCTGGTGGCAGAAAAAGTTGTGCATGGCATTTGTTTTAAAGTAAAGTGCATGAAGGTTAGAGAACAGGAGAACGATCGTCGTAGAAAATAGTGTCCCAGAAATATGGTCCCCATAAGTGAGGCGCTGCGATCACAAAGTTCGGTCAATAAAAGTCATTTTCAGTCTATTTTTACGGTCAGATGCTCAACCACTTTCACATCCACGCACAATAAAATATTTCTCCATTTTTTAATGTTCCTTTTTGCCAAAAATTACAAAATTACGGAGCATGAAAATTTTCTCACCAATGCCGCGGAGAAAATTTGTACATTCAACTAACTTCACCTACTTGTACTCATAAATAGCTAACTTCGCAGTCACTACTCACCGAGGTCAGCGCCGCTATACATTCTACAATTTTCAAGGACTGGCGGGCTATGCTTTAGTACGTAGTGATCGTTCTCCTGTTCTTTAACCTTCATGGTAAAGTGCGTTTCACGATACAATTTCCTTCACCGTAATGTTGGTAGCACGCAAATTAGTGTTGCTATTTTTTGAGTAATGAAATCAAATTATTTAATATTAGGGAGATATGTTTACTACATTATTATTATAAATTCACATCAATTTCGATTTGTACTTTTATAACTGTGTAATTTTTTTAAAAATATATTGCTACACAGGAATTCTGGAGACAGTAGCTCTATTTTGATGCAAGGAAAGAGCCCTCCTCAAAGGAGTTCTCATCAGAGAGCGCACTCTGAGCAGCCAGTCTTGATACCATCAATGTTGACTGGCTAATCTTTTAAAGCGGTCAGTCTGGATACCACGTATATTGACTGGCTAATATTTTAATCACTGCAAAAGTATAAATTTTGGCAGTAGCCAGTGTCGACACGACGAAAGAAGATAATAGTTATAATTATACGGGTTGTCTTAAAAGAGAAAAAGGTGTTAAACAAAATTTTATTAAAACCAGAATACCACAATTTACTGCAACTGTATGGTATAGTACTATCTATTTAGCTTTAGCAAGTCTTTCTTTTAGCCACTTCATGAAATTTTCTCGATTCGTCGATTTACATTAAGACTGAAAAATGAGATGGGCATTTGGTATGAAGCCGTTTTTACTATTTTTGTGCACTTTAATGTATCGTGGTCCCTTCGAGTCTGAGGATGCAACACCTTCTTCTGTTTCGCTTTGTCAACCTTTCTGGCGCAGTACCTTGAGTGAGTATATGTTTCATCTAAATGTATTGCTGGATGGTGCACTAGATTGCGATTCTCTTGCTTTAAATATGGATAACGCCACGCCACAATATCGTACATTACCATTTTGCTTTTAGACTAAATGTTCACTGAGCCGTGGTAGCTCAGTGGTTAACGCTCGCTGTAAATATAACAGAACGCGTGTAACCCGGGTTCGATCCCCGCCGGCACCAATGAAATTGTTAATTGCAATTTTAAGTGCTGATTTACCACGTGCTCGGCGGTAAAGGAAAACATCGTGAGGAAACCTGCATGTCTGAGGAATAAGAAAAAAAATATTTTTGAAGACATGTGAAGTTCGTCAACACGCATTTGGGCAGCGCGGCGGACACTTCCTTGCCCTAAACCCTCTCAGAAATGAGGGGAGGCCTGAGCCCAGCAGTGGGACGTATATAGGCTGTAACTTTACTAAATGTTTTAAAACAAAATCTCATTTCCCACATAATTCTACATACAGTGGTGGGATGTCAATTAAAACCGATTTCATTTCGCCTTTCGTGCAAACATTTTGTGGCAACTCTTTTCTAACCATATAGAAATTTGTGACTTTGTGAGTTACCAATATTACGGCGAAGAGAATTCTTTTGTGAAACACACTATTCTTGATTCTAAACAGAGAGTATGTTGTTAGTTTGTAGAAACAAAAAATGTAGCGAGTGAAAAGTACTAGTATCTTTGTGAATTCTGATGAGCACTAGTATATTTGGGGTATGTTCCGAAATACAACCCAGTACACTGGCAAATGCAAATTACGTCATCAATTGACACTATATTGTACTGGCGTGCCGCCGCCATATTGCGTCGGATATCCGGCCACAATAAAACAATTTTTAATTGTGTGTGCGCTGAATGAAGCATGCCAGAATTTGTTTTTATTTATTCAAATACAAAAAATTATAGAATAATTGCTGGTATCTCCATTAGGACGATATAATGATTTTTGGAGCACAAAATGACAAAATAATCGCCAACACTTTTCCAATATGGCGTAA